ATATATTCCCTTCTGTACATTCATTGACAAGTTTCTCATTCCACGTTGTAAGTTTCCCATAATAACAGTGAAATGTATATGTTTTGTGTTACCTAGCAACCTAAACTAATTGTAAAAACACGTGAAGTGTTATAAAAACAGTATAACGACAAAAGATTACTGTGAACGTACTTTTTAGCTTTTTATTTTTGTTAATTTATAAATCTGAATTAACATAATTTACAAAATGGATCTTAGCAAACTATTGAAAATCAGGAAGCACCGTACAGCTGTTTCATACTGGATTGACAAATCTCAATAATAAGAGAATATATTATTTCCTGTGTTTATATTGTAAATAATGTTTTTCTTTAGAAAAGATACTGCTGAGTTCAATCCTGAAGAAGTATTTAGTTTTGAGTTTGAACAACATCACTAAAATTTAACTAAATTCAACAGATTCATTTTGCATACAATGAAATAATTTTTGGGGATTTTGTTAATAAATACTATAGAAAGTCTAAAAGCAGAATAAATAGTATATCTCAAATAAATACATACAATCTGTTCTGAATTGTTTCTTTCTTTAATTTTCGTATATCCTAGAAAGAGATCAGTTGTGTAATCAAAATTAGTCTATATTTATTAATTTATGAAATTTGTTTAACTGAATCAGTTTTGTTTTATAATATGAGGTTTAAGAATTGATCGGTTCAAACTAAAATTTTATTTTATTTACCTATCGTTATTTATATTCGTAAAAAGCATACAGTTATTCAGCGATAAACGTCAATATAAAAATTACCACAACTTGTTTAAATATAGCTAAAAGAAATCATTAGTTTAGAGAAAAATAATGTCAAAATTCGAAAACTTGGGGGAAAAGAAGAAAAGTTTTGATATCCATTATATATGTTTTATTTTATAAAAAAAATTTAATTAGTATAATTCTGCTTATATAATGTTTACTTGATACCTGTTATTCATTTCAGTTCCCATTAAAAAGTCTATTTTATGTATTTTATATACATAAATATTTTTATGATGTAGATTGTTAGGTGGTTTTTCTTCTATTTCTTTGATATCTCATGGTTTTATTAGTTAAAATCGGTCAGTTAGAAACCATTATCATGGAGCCTCATTCAGATGTCTGTTAGTCAAAGCTGCTATACCAGATTGGCAGAACAATATGAGTATCATAAGATGAATTAAAAATAGACTGAATTAATTTAGTGGCAATAAGAGAACTAGTGATGAGAAAAACTAACTGTTGAGAATATAGATTAGGAAGAGAGAACTCAGACCGTATCAATGTTATGAAATACAAAGAAAAGCTTAGTATCGATAAGCAATTTAAGACGTTGCTAGAAATATCATTCAATTCATGTTAACTACTGCCGAATATTCAGTGTCTGTGTAATTTGTGCAAACATATTGACTAGATCATCATAATGGTAGGCTGTAAGTGTAAAAACTTTGCAGATATCATTATTTAAACAGGATATAGATTTAATAAGACAAGATTAATTATTAGCGTACTTGACAATACAGCCACTGGAAATATGAAAATGTTCTTGCACAGTTGTAAGATTTTTTTAGTCTAGTCATAGAAAAAAATAGGGAAGAGTTACTCAAATTTCAAGCTTACCAATAAACTGTTTTCTCAGTTGGTTAAAATTAGTGATAAAACGTCTAGAATTGATATAAAAACATCTTCCAATGAGTCCAGATATAAACATTGTAGGAACTTTGATAAATCATTCTTAGGTATTAGTGACTTGACAAAATATCTTGCATAAAACCTTTCAAATAAAATTAATTTTCTTAAGGCGGCATAGCCTGTATAGTAGAAACGAATTATGCGCCATAGTAAACTTACAAGCCACGTACAGTCACCAACACTGCATTTCTAATCACAAGTCCTTGATTTTGTCATTTTTCGCTAATAAAAAATAGGGACTTTAAAAGTCATGTTAAGTGTAAATCAGTTTTTGTGGCATATCGGTTTCACCACAAAAATTTCATTCTTTTCGTTATGGGCATTTTATCTTCATAAAAATAAACAAATTTTGTTACTATGTTGCTAAATCGGTTATCGATTTAGAAAATTACCTGAGCTTATATATATATAATTATGCATAATAAAGTTTTATTTACTCTCATCTTGGGAATTTAATAAAAGGACTTATACTTGAACTTATTGTGGCAATCAGAGACTCATTTATTCACTCAATCTAAATTTCTTTCAGTTGAGATGATATAAACAAAAATGTACAGAAAGTCAAGTTTAACTCCATAAAAAATAATTATTCATTGATTATTTTTGATGGTGAGAAAAACTTTCATTGCTTTCGGCAAGAATATCCGAACAAATAAAGGTCGTTAATTTAAGGTCCGGTGTTTTTAGCATATGTTTGAATACAAATAAAGTTGTTGGGGGTAGAAGCGAATAGTTAATGCGAACTTATATATATATATATATATATATATATATATATATATATATATATATTTATTTATTTATTTATTTATATCCCATCTGTAGCATTGCTAATTATAGAATCGAAACTCCCACCGTTTTTTGACCTGTTTTGATTGAAAAAAGAATGCAAAAAATAACTTGTGTTGCTCAGCTTTTTAAAAAAAATTTTATTTTGCGGGTATTTTTTATCCCAATCATTATCTCTTAGGAGAAAACTTCATTTTTGAAAAAAAATCGTTTTATTGGGTGTTTGAAAAAGTTATAAACACACTTATTATTCAATCAAAGCGAGAAAGCATTTATCTTTAAGCATGTTTAGTCTGTTACTTGATATCTCCTTTCTGAATTTTCTTCCTAATAGAATAGTTTATCATCAAAATCGTATGATTATCAGTTTGTGTAATTTATTCAATAAGTTGTAAAATCCTACAACAGTGTGTACCATACAAATAGAACATATAGCTTATTATCATTGAATATGATTATAGAACTAACTGTATATACTTCATATCGTTGTTATCAGTTAGTTATGTGTTCATATTTATTAGCGTAAATTTATATACCTATGCTTTGAAGCTGTATACTATAGTTTAAAGATCCTTACATGAGCTAACGCCTGTTTTCAACTACTTCATCAGACCTTACATTTATATACATAAATGAAGTAAATAGTGTTATATAGTAAAAGAAAAGTGAATTTTTGTATCAATACGACTTAGATCAATACAGTAAATTTGAACTAACTATGCTTCAATTTAATTAGAATTGTTTTTTTTTTCTAAATTATGCTAAATAAACACATTTATTTGTAATATACAACTCTAGCATATATTAGCGATTATTCCTATTTGTTTTGATTAAATTATGCACTTTTATAATTATTTTGTTAATTATTTTTTACAAAATCAAAGGTGAAAAACTGTTCTGAAAACCACACAAATATGCAAAAATAAATTTTGTGTATTTTCTAAAGTTTTAATATGTCTGAAATAGAATAAAAATAACAATACCGATATCAAGAGATGTTTGTGGTATTTTTAAACATATCTATTCATTTATGTATCTGAAATCTTTTGAAGTTTTTTTTCTGTAAAGAAAAGTAAACAATAACCTTACTATTTTTCAATAGATAAATATATTATTCAAAGTATTTTTTATTTATATATTCAATTTTCTGGCAAAGTGACAAAACACTGACCTTTAATAATAGTTGCTACTGATTAGTGACTCCTGTAAATGTTAAATAATTGATTGAGAATAACGGTCACAAAACGTTATGAATTGACTGATATTAGAATTATGACAATAAACTAGCTAGGAAATTTGAAAGCTCAAGATCTAATCCCTTGACAATGTCAAGGATACAAATTATCAGTGGATGATAACAGTTGTTTATTGCTCTACGATACTTCAAAAACATCTGTTTGCGATGATAATTAAATTACAATAGTTATTACACACATATCTGATAATGTTTTTCGATTTACTTTATACACAAGATTTATTCATTAATGATGCTATTCGTTAATAGGTTAAGTTAATCATAGGGAAATAGAATTCAGTTTCGCTGAAGTAGTTATATATGAATTAAAGATATATGTGAATAAGACGGAACATTGTTATTATAAAGACTACAAATGTAGTTTAATAAACACTATTTCACATTTACTGAGTAAATGTTTTGTAAATGGTAGATGAATTCACATGGTGCCTCATTTATGGATCACTGTCAGTTACGAAAACAAAAGCTAATCATTGTATTCAGGCTAAAAATAACTTGATATTTGAAAAAATCTGTTTGATATTACTTAGTTGAAAAATGTATGTTCATCAGATATTGAATAGATTGAAACTGTTTATGAAAGATACATATGTTAAACACTTCATAAAAGTTTAGTGCATTTATTTATTAGATGTATAAAAAACACGAAGAAAGGAAAATAATGTGGAGTGATACTAAAATAAACAAGAATAATTTAGGTTAAATAAAAGAAAATAAATCATAGGTATTGAAATGAGGTATAGAATAAACGGTTCTGTGCTATGACGATCTCTTTTAATATATGTATTCCGAAGTTTCCCGTTTTTATATTCGTATTATTCCCAATAGAAATCCATGAGCTTCCACACATTATACTGGATAGAAAGATCACTAAATGAATTTTTAATCAACGGTTTCACCTTGAGTTTAAGTGTTATTCAATAATCTCTCACTTGACGCTTTGTTTATCGTGGTTTAAACCATAAACTCATCTTAGTTAGTATCCAATTGAAAACCAGGAAGCATTAGACAACTGCATTGTTTTAGTATTAGACCCCTCAGCAGTATGCATGTACGATCTCACCGCAGGAAATTAGAAACGAGAACCTTCGTTCTTACATGTGAACGTTTAAGCTTTAGACCATTGAGCTGATATCTATTGTTCTGCATATATAACCTCCATCCATTCTTGATATTGTGTAACCATCTGTCATATTCTAACTTTGAGTTTTCTTTTTTTAGCATTACACGTAATTTTTCTATAATTTTTGCTTACAGGTGATCTACTGCCTGCTGATGGAGTGATTCTTCAAAGTAATGACTTAAAGGTTGATGAAAGTTCATTAACTGGTGAACCGGATCAAGTGAAGAAAGGTGAAAACATTGATCCAATGTTATTATCAGGTCAGTCAGTATATTATTAATTGAATTATCATTTTCTATGAATTATCATCCAATTACTTATCCATTTCTACACGATAAATAAATAGATATTGATATTTTTGCTATATGAAGTAGTAAGAGTAGTATTATGCTACTGTATTTGCAAAAAGTAATATATTTGAAAATAAGTTTGTGAATTCTTTGGTTTAATTTTTTTATCAGAAAGGGGGTTTTTATGGAGATTGTAGTAATTTAACAGTTGAATTCATAAGTAGATTAAGGCTAAACCATCATGGAAAACCTGGAAACACTGAACGGCAATAACACTGTTGGATGCCTGTTCAGTGGTCTAGAGGTTAAGCATGAGACCACAGGTCCTAGGTTTGAATCCCGCGTGCGGGATCGTGCGTGCACACTGCTAAGTACTCCCATATTTTATCGAAACGGCCATCCGGTGGTTTCATGTTTTTTATAGTGGTTTAGCTTTAATCGACCCATGAATTCAACTAATAATTTTTTTTATAAATCAAAATATTATTTTTGTACAAAACCTGTAATTGTTTTTAATAATAATATGGTTTTATTTATTTTTGCTTAATTTTATATCATATTATATAACATAGGGAAAGTTAGAGGATTTGTAGAGTGTACATTTTGTTTTTAATGATAATGATATATGTATATTGATAAAATCTTATTGAGCTGGAAAATGTATTTCCGACCTTTTACTACCTATTATAAATTGCCTCTTCAGAGAATAAATAATCAAATTAAATTATAGCAAACCGAACAAAGCAGAATTCTTTTTACTATAATCAAAACGGGTTAATCACATGTCATTTTACTCAAGGTGATTCTTTGTGATACCTTTTATTTTGTGTGTTAGTGAGTGTGGAATAGCTGATGTTTGTAATGTGAAAAACTAGCGGTAAACATATTTTATGCTTGTAAGTGTTGTGGAACGTGAATAAAATTAAATTTTTGAATGTATGGATGAGTAGTCTATATTAAATGGATAGTTAAGTGATTCTTTCTTTTGAAGGCATTAAGGTTTAGAAACATGGGAGGCTTCATCTAATTGTCTTTCTTCGCAGTTGGAAAAACCATTTTGCATTATTTCGAAATTATATACATAATGTTTTCTATTTTAAATGGTTTATTCAATGCTCAATGGTTGAGATCATGGGTCAATTGAAGCTAGACAATAATGGAAAGCCTGGAAGCACTGGACGACCCTTTCGTTCTATTGTGGGGCTCCTCAGCAGTGTGTATCCACGATCCCACCTCACGAGATTCAAACCATGGACGTATCAGTCTACCGCGCGAGCGCTTAACCTCTAGACCACTGAGCCAGCATCCAACAGTGTTAATGTCTAACTTCAACTAATCCACGAAATTGAGCGACACATCCTTCATTATCTTGAGTGAGTTACTATCTCACAACAGACCCGATTGAACTCCACTGGCCACCGTTTCTCACTAGAACTGCAGGAAATACCTTTTAAAGCCAGTCACTAGTGAGCATATGTTGACTATTATAGTAGTAGTACTTTCAATAGTTGAGATCATGAATCAATTGAAGTTACATCACTATGAAAAACTCGGAAGCACTGGACGGCCATTTCGTCCTATTTTGAAGTTACCAAGTCAAACCTTGGTAAGGATACAAAAGCGTTTTTTTTTATGTGATTATGAATTGTCTTAATAATATGTACAGAAATAAAATAATTCCGAATAACACAACAGGTTTAGGAATTGTAATATTATCAATTTTGGAAAACAAATGTAGCAATCTTATATTTAAACATAACATAATTCTTTTATGCGGAACAATATTCGACATTTATATTGAGTTCAAGTAAACTTTTATTTGAACTCTAAACGTTTTGTCGAACCGTGAAAATTAACATGAGTAAAAAATATCCGAATTTCTCTCCAATTCAAATATTCTCTCTCATTATGAGTAGGTAGGCTTCCCGGAAAACCCCGAAAATTCTCTCTACAATCTATCAACAGTGAAGTTAAGTCAGACAGAAACAGAAGCCTTGTCGCTTGGATTTAAATTTCGTATTCCTAAAACACATGCCGATAGAATCGACACAGAAACTCAATTTGAGAATGTATTTGATTAAATTAAAGGGTTGCATCTAGTTAGCGAAGAAAAGAAAGGCTGGTTTAGATCTAAACTAGTCAATATCGCAAACCAATACCTCGTTTCTGCCACACCGCAATCCAAGCTTTTATCCAAAGACCACCTAACAGCTTTATGAAATATTAAGCGAAATGATGATATAATGATATTACGGTCAGATAAAGGTTCAAGTGTTGTTCTAATGAACACAACAAATTATGTCCCTAAGATGATGTCCATTTTGAGTGACCACACGAGGTCCAAGTTAGAAAATAGTAACAAACACTTAACTGATTCCACTGAGAAAAGAGTCACGAAAGTACTCAGCGACCTACTAAAGAAGAAGATGATCGATAATTCTATTTACAATAACCTACGACCTCATGGGTCTCGTTTGCTCCACATGTATGGTTTACCGAAAATACATAAACAAGATAATCATCTTGGACTTATTCTGTCAATGGTCAATTCATCATACCAAAAAGTTGCACAATGGCTGGCAGATGAATTAAAACCAGTTCGTCAGCGATTAGCCACTTATACACTAAAGGATTCATTTATATTTGCTGACAGCATGAATCACATAAATATTGCTGGTAAGTTTATGGTTTCTTTTGATGTGACATCACTGTTTACAAAAAACCACTTCTTGAAACCATAGACATAATTTGTCAGCATCCTGACATCCTCCCTTAACCAGCAACAGAATTCAAACGACTATTAATCATGTGTACAAAAGACGTTCAGTTCCAATTCAACAATACTATATACTGCGAACCGATGGTGTAGAAATGGGTAGTCCGTTTGGCCCTGTCCTAGAAGACATTTTCATGGCTAACCTCGAAAGAACCAAGCTCAAAGAAGCGATTGATGAAATGATGTATTATTCGAGGTATGTTGATGATACCTTCATCGTATGTAATAATCAATAACATGCAACAAATCTGCTAAAATTTTTCAATGAAGCCCATCCAAATATTCATTTCACTATGGAACATGAAAAAGAAAAATTCCATTTTCTCGATATCGCGATGAAACGAAGAAAGGACGGTACAGTTCAATGCTCAGTTTATAAGAAAGACACATGGAATGGAATTTATCTGAATTTCTACAGCTTTTGTGCAATCAATAATAAAAAGGCACTTGTCGAAACACTATTACACAGAACAGGAAGAATATGTACTGCTGATACACCAGGAAAGGAAGTTATGAATGCTAAAACGTGTTTAAGGAATAATGGATACCTATTGAAATTTATTGAGAAATATGGAAAACGTGAAAATAAAATACCCAAAGAAACTACAGTAGATAAAAAAACCTGTTTTTATTCAACTCAAATTCAAAGGTGATAATGTCACAGGGTCAATCAATATGAGACTAAAAACTGCATTGACATGAACATATCCTGTAACTAAATTGATTGTCCTGTCCAAAACAGCATGTTCTTTGACACAATCAAAGGTCGACACTTATCCCTTTCATTTTACCACCAACTGTGTATACAAATTAACATGTATCTGCCAAAGCAGTTACATTGGTAGAACAGAAAGGAGAGCCGACGTCCGATTCAAAGAACATATTCCGAACGGTTTCAGATCAAACGGACTAAAAGCATTCAGCAGGGCTATTGCAAGACATCTCCATGACACAGGACACGAAGCCGATATACTGAAGTCCTTCAAGGTGAATAACAAATAATCAAACTCAAATCTTTTGAAATTTGCCGAAGCGATAGCAATCAAACGTTTAAAACCAGATCTTTGTATACAAAAAGAGACAGTAGTATAGCTTTCTTTGCCCTGGTAACATTACTCCCCCCTTTTATTTATTTATTTATTACGTCTTTCCAACTCTTCCTGAATATTATAATTACATCATTCATAACTGACCAATTTCAATTTATATCTCTCTTGATTACCATTATTCTATTTTCATTTACTTCATTACATAGTAATCCAGTGTGTTTTTAATTCCATGAGCTCTTACCACTATTTCTATGTTATGGAACCTACCTTCCCAAACTCTATGTATTCGAAACAAAATTTTTTGACCTCATTAACTCTAACGGAATCTTTGCTACATTATGACACATATATCCATCCTTCATCACCCTCTGATGTATAAGTATGTCAATATCTGCAATAACGTTGAGTTTCAAATATTTTAGGTTGTAAGTAGATGATGAGAACCTAACGAAATAAAATGGATTCATATTATTCTTCACCAATCTTTGTTCTTGCTCTCTTTAAAACAGTATGATATTATTCGATACCAAAATATTAATCTCTTAGCTTGATTAGTTTTACTGATCACTTCTAATAGTCATCTATAATTAGTTTCCTTGACAATTAAGTAGTTGTAAGTTAATTTTGTTGAATATATTTCATTGTTCGGTTTTTATTTTACAAAATTATAAATAAATTCAAGTGAAAAATTGAATATAGGTGAGGATTCAACACGGATAATATGAAAGAAGAAGAATAAAACTGACAATGTATAAATGTCAGTGAAACCATTAAACAACAGAGTCATTCCCTTTTATTTCTATCAGTCGTATGCAACATTGAACGTAGCATATGTGTATCTTAATATGAGATATCACACTCTTGTAGCAAAGCCTTGGGAAATCCAGTAGTAACAAAATATTAACAATATCGGTGGTAATAGAAAAGATAGAGCACACAAGATATGATTCGAGAGGAAAATATTGATTAACTGAATACAAAATAATTTAAAAGATAATTAAGAGATTTGTGATCTAAAGCGACAGTTGTGTTGTGAAGCATTTTGAGCCACTGGTTACGATAATCGCGCTAATCCTAACTAGGTAGTTAGCACCTACATAAGTGGATTAATTCGTCAGTTAATGTCATTATATAACTGATACCAT